ATGACTCCGCTGCAAAATGCGAATGAACGTCCGGGACACAGACACGGGGGCAGGGCTGGAGGGGGCAGAGGGGGCGGGTGCTTGGACAGACGGGCAGGGACAGACGGACGCTCTGTAGTTACTCTGTGCTGGGAGGGAAGGGGCAATTCTCATGGAGCAGCCGACATCTGAGCTCTCAAACTGTGTGTCAGGGCTACAAGGGGCAAGGTCGGCCCAGGGCTCCTGGAGAAACACTGCGCAGGGACACAGAGTGTGGCCCCAGACAGGGACACACACTGGCCCCAGAGCACACGCTGGCCCCAGACAGTCTCCCAGCTTGGCAGCCGCAGCTCCGGCATTTCCCTCCCTGCGCCAGGGCAGCCGGTGAGTCCCAGAGTGCAAAGGGCAGAGCCTCACCCACGGCCCGTGCCTGGCTCCGCTGCCTTTCTGGGCTGGGCAGGTTCCGCCCCTGGGGATTGGGTCTGTGTTACTGACAAGCTGCTGGACTGGGGCCGTGAATTAAAAACAGCAACCAGCAAAATGCAGCTCCCGCTAACGGGCGTTTAAAGCCTGGGTCAGAGCAGGGTCCGGTTTGACCAGCCTGCCCCCAGAGGCACCAGGGAATATAGGAACAGAACAGCCAGACTGGGGCAGACCAAAGGTCAGCCAGCCCAGTGTCCTGTCTGCCCACAGTGGCCAGCGCCAGATACCTTCACCTGATCCCTCTCCTGTCACCTATTTCCAGACAAACAGGGGCTAGGGACACCATTCCTACCCATCCTGCCTAATAGCCACTGATGGACCTAACCTCCATGAATCTATGTAGCTATTTTTTGAACCCCGTTAAAGTCCTAGTCTTCACAACATCCTTTGGCAAGGAGTTCCACAGGTTGGCTGTGCACTGAGTGATTGTTTTCAACCTGCTGCCTATTCATTTCATGTGGTGACCCCTAGTTTGTATATTGTGGGAATAAATAAATAACGGGAAGGGCAAGAAACTCCATCCCGGGCAGATGTGGGACAACGTGACACTTCTTCCGGCATCGCCGTGAGCTGCAGTCGTCAGCCACCGATTGAACGGACAGGCGAGAGGTTTCATCTCTCTTCCATACTCGTGTCCTCAGCATTTTCATAAGTATTAATGGCTGGTGATTAGCACAGGGCTGCAGCCACGCTCTGCCCGGCAATGCCCAATTCCTACTGGGGAGAGGCTGAATTTCATTTGCTGCGGCCACACACGCTGCAGTGAGTCCTGGCCTAAGACCGGTGACTGTCCAGCACATGCAAGGAGATCATACCATGGGGGAGACCACTGCTGGGGACCTGGGCCCAGCTCTGGAGCCCTCAGCGGCAGGAGGCTGTTGAACTGGTGAGGGGTCCATAGAAGAGACTGGGGAACCGGCCTTCTGGGGACAGACTGGAGGCTCTCACTCCGCTGAGTGGCACTAACAGGGGGACGGGGTGATGTGAGCGCAGCGTCTCCGTGCCCACGGGGGGAGCAGACGTTTGCTAAGAGAGCTCCTCAGTCCCGCAGGGAAATCAAGCACTTCCCCTGTCCACTACACTTTACAAACTCAGGTAGATAGCAAAGATTCGAATTGTTACCCGTGAGGACAAGTGACCACCCGCTGGCCCGAATTCTCCACCCTTGACAATCTTTACATCAAGATTGGAGGGGTTTTATAAAAAGCTGCCCCCTTCAAACAGAGGCTGATTTCACAGAAGCCCTCCTGCCTGTATTATACAGAGTGATGGACAGGGGAAGTGCTGAGCAGCATCCGGTGACTAAGGGGTTAAACTCAGGTAGATAGCAAAGGTGTTGGCCAGTGGACCAGGAGAACCAATCCAAATAGAGGGTTGAAATGTGAATTGGATCTAGGTTCCCTGCCTGCTTTCTTTGGGGGGGGGAGTGAAAAACTAGTCATTGAGAGAGACAGAATGATGTAAACCCAGGCAGGATTACCAGGCCTCCAAGGAATTTGGGGCATGAGAGTGAACTGAACAAAGAGAACTTTAGAAATAAAGTGAAAAGTGAATCTAGTCGTGTTCAGGGTATCCATGGGGATGGGTTCAAGTGTTCACCCTGATTTTTTTCAGGATACGTGTTCAGGGTAATTTTTTTTTAATGTTGCAGTTTGGTTTGAAGTGCTCTGTGTGAATCTCTGCCTCCCCTCCCCATTTACCATCTAGCATTGTGACCAGAGACTTTTCTCTGTGGGTATGTCTACACTACAGAGTCTTGAAGGAAAAACAGCCATTTTTCCGACAAAACTTGAGGAACATCCACACTGCAATCGCATTCTTCTGCAAGAAAATTGAAAGAACAGAGGGGTTTTCCCGACATCGTTAATCCTCATTCTGTGAGGAGGGGAAGCCTTTTTGTGAAAGATCTCTTTCGGAAAAAGGTGTGTGTGGACGGGGCAGAGGGAGATCTTTCGGAAAAAGAGAAAAAACACAGGTGCCCTGGCATTCCAGCCATAGCAATCACAGCTTACATGAGAGAAAGCATCCATTCAGTCTGGACTCTCTTTTGAAAAAGTACCTCTCCCTGAAAGAAGCCTGCAGTCTAGACATAGCCTGAGTTTTAATTTATTTGCCTTAGTTGCTCTGTAACATCTAGCGACCAAATTTGTTTTCTCAAGTTTATCTTTTGTTTTCTAATTTAAAAAAATTTTTTTTTCTAAGATGATGATTTGATTCTTGTGTCATGGAAGGTCTGTCTGTGTATCTGCAGGTCTCCGACTGAGAGGTCAGCTACTAGAGCCTGAAGCTTATTTTCCTCTTTTCTTTTTTCAAGTTCTTTTAAGGCAAAAGTACTCGGGGTATCCATGGGGATGGGTTCAAGTGTTCACCCCTGATTTTTTTAGGGATAAAATCAATGGATGGTGGCAGCGATTCTCCAAAATCTGTGTGTTGTGATACGCGGGGGAAGTTTTTGTAACCAGTGCCTGGAGAAGCAAAGGTGGTTTTTTTTCTTTTCTTTTTGAGCTTTGCAGGCCTTCACCATCTGTAATCAGAGTCGCGGAGCAGGGAACAGCCCTTGGCCGGTGGAAGTAGCAGTGGGGCAGTAAAGGAAGCTGTCTCAGTGGCTAGCTGTATGCCTAAGATTAGCCAGGGGTATTGGGAAAAGAGAGAAACTGTCTCTGGTTGCCTATCTGTGTGTGGGGGCTGTAAGGAGCCCTGGATTTGAGCAATTCGCCCTGAGCAGACGCCCTCAGCTGTGCCCAGACATGGCCCAGTCCGTCACAGGGGTGATGTGAGCGCAGGGTCTCCGTGTCCACAGGGGGAGCAGGCGTTTGCTAAGAGAGCTCCTCAGTCCCGCAGGGAAATCAATAACTAAATTCAACGGCTGGAAGGGGAAGCCGAACAAATTCAGAAACAAGGTTCGAATTGTTACCCAGGAGGGGGATTCACCCTTGGGACAAGTGGCCACACGCTGACCTGGATTCTCCACCCTTGACAATCTTTAACTTAAGATAATCATTTTTATTTTCTATTAAACCAATGTAAATAATTGTTCCCTATGGGGGCAACCAGTGTGCCCATCCCCCCTTCCACTGCTAAAGGACTTAATTCTTTGGGGTCTGATCCCAGTTGGGGAGGGGTATCCCAGGGAGCTGGGCCCTACACTCCACTCTCCTTCACCTGAAGAGGTTCAGTGTCTCTGCTGCTTCTCGGTGGGGGCAGGGACCTCAGTCTGGGGCGTTGGCTGGGGGAGACCAGGGAGCTGGCCCAGCAGGACAGGGCGGTGAGGAGCCCCAGAGAGCGGGAAGGTGAGAGGCAGGGGCCGTGTCAGCCCCTCAGGAGACCCCCCGGGGGCTCGTCAGTGACCGCCCCCAGTCACAAGCTCATTTCAAGGGCCCCGTCTATGGATATTTCTATTAGCCCCCAAACGTGACTGTTTTGGGCTGGAATTCCCCCCGTGCGCAGCACAGGCCTGGAGAGCACTGCCCATCCCCCTTCCCCTTGAGCCCTTGTGGCCCTGCAGGAGCGGGGCGGGAGGAGGCGGTGGGATTACGCTCTAGACTGTTAATGGGGCTGTCGATGTGAAATAGCCACGACTGCAGCAAGCGGGAGCCCAGCAAGCACTGACCTTGTCTCTGCTTCCAGCCGCGCCCGGCACCCAAGTGGAGCCCTCAGCGCCCCATGGCCACGCCCAACAGCACAACGTTCAGTCACCTCAGCTTCGTCCTGGTCGGCATCCCGGGCCTGGAGCC